ATAGTATATAGTATATATATATATATATATATATATATATATATATATATATATATATACATACATATATATATATACACACACACACACACACACACACAGACACAACCATACTTCTATTTGTGCAATCACCGATGTGGTGTTTGACGAAATAATGCCTCGGAGATTTGAGAATGTATCTTTTGCTAGTCGATTCTGCGTCTAATTTCCTTCTTGCAACGAGCATCTCAGGTGACAAGAGCTCCTAAATATTTTGAAGGAGGAGACCTGTTGGATTTTTACTTCTCCGTGTTTCAATGAACAAGTTGGTAGGACTTCTGACATCGAAACTACCATGCATTTTTTTTGTTGTTGGCATGGAGACACAACAGCATCAAAAACATTGAATGTCATTTACAGATTTAGCCTTGAGAACTGCATCTGTTTAACGGAGATTGTTGTTCTTGCAACTATTGATAACGATTCCCTGCTGGTGATCTTTAGTTTCCCGCAGGATAATTTCAGAGTATAACCTGAAGAGGTCAGGTGACATCACACAACTTTGTCAGATACTTCGCTTAATGGGAAACCAATTAGTTTTTCCATCGTTGATCTTGGTAGACTGATTGAATTAGGCTCATATCTTTGTCTATCTGGATATTTACGAGGATAAGTACGAGGATAAGTAAGTTGGCTATTTCATAGATATCATTGAGGAAATTCCAGATGAAATCGATGCCTTTTTTGAGCATTTCTGGGCATTTCGGTGTATAAGGCGTCAGGACCTTTAGCCTTCCCGGTTTTCAATAGCTGTAGGGACCAGCGCACTTCTGACTTCAGAATTGGTGGGCCAGATGTGACAGCTTCCAGGACTAGATCTTCTGGCTCTTGCTCGTCGTCAAAAAGTTCTTGAATATACTCTTCTCAACGAGCGCTGACTTCCTCGGTGTCGTGGAGAATGCGGCCGTCTGCTGCTTTGATGCAATTTGAGAAGGAAAAGGGTCGCTGACCAGTCATTTCTCTTATCCTTTAAAACATCTCTTTGGGATGACAAATAAAATTCTTTCTGCAGCCAACATTCCTTGGCTTTCTTATACTGCTCTTTGTAAAGATTGTTCACTAGTTCATATTCTGTTTTGAGACTTGATGAAGGCTTCTTCTTCTTTTCTACTACTGAGATTGTCTTAACAGCTGCTGTTTGAATGTCCTCAATGAAGGCACCAAAACGATGGTCTGTGTCACTGTCTTTGGTAGATTACCCCCCAAAAAAAAAACAACTCTTATTTGATTTTTTCTCGCACCTCTTGAATGCACCGAGTTGAAATTTGGAGGCAATCTTCGCTTTCTTCATCTTTTTGAGGGACAATCTAAATTTTATTATTACTGGTTTGTGGTGTGAATTTGCATCTGCACCCGGATATGCTCGGGAGTTTTTGATTGCGTTCCGGTATCTTGAACTGATCATAATATATTCGAGTTGGTTTCGGGTTCTATCACCAGGAGTAATCCATCTATATCGTCGTCTAGAGTGTACGTCAAACGAGTGTTTGTTATGATCAGATGTTTCTCCTTACACTACTCTGTTAGTTTTCCCATGGCTCCCTGAGCCAATTTTAGCATTAAAGTCACCCAAGACAATCATTTGCGTTTGATTCACATGGTGAAAATAATTCATAAAAAGAGTTGTAGAAGCTGGCGAATTGTTGGTCTTCAGAATAGAGGGGAAGGGAGAAGGAGTGGGGGGGGGGAGGAAGGAAGGGAGGGAAGGATGGAGGGAAAGAGGGTGGAAAGGAGGGAGAGAAGGAGGAAGGGAAGCAGGGAGGGAAGGAGGGAGGGAAGGAGGGAAGGAGGGAGGGAAGGAGAAAGAGAGAGAGAGAGAGAAGAGAGAGAGAGAGAGAGAGAGAGAGAGAGAGAGAGAGAGAGAGAAATATACCAGACAATATGAGACATAAATCTATCTCATAACTCTTTGCTTCCCTCTCTTATTTCTTCCATCTCCATTTTCGTCTGTTAGTATCAAATCAGAAGAAATGAGCAGAATGCAATAACGTAAATATCGCTGTTATTCCATGAGATGAATAGGATCTGTTCACCTGAAAACCCTCCCCTAGGTAGTCCCATGCTGAGAATGTTCGGATGCTGCTGAACAGTTGCTGTCACTCCGGGAAATTCGAAAAAAAAAACGAAGGAAAGAATCAGATTTTTTTCTACGTTTCGATTTAAAGAACTGTTCAATATGTTATGATATTTAAAAAAGAAATGTCCTAAACAAAATGAAAATGGCCAGAATAAAGAATACAAAGAAAAAAAGAAGAAAAAAAGTAGTTTTAGATAATTAGATGGTCTAATGTCGGTACTTTTAGGAGAGGAGGTATTTGGAGGCAGGTTCGCGATTACTGTGCCTGTCAGTCATTCACTTCAGAATAGAAGGGGAGGGAGGAGATGGGGTGGGGGGGAGGGTAGGAGAGAGAGGGAGAGAAAAAGAGAGAGGGAGAGGGAGAGGGAAAGAGAGAAGAGAGGGAAAGGGAGTGGAAAAGGAAAGTGAAAAGAAGTAGAAGAGGGAGAGGGCGAGGGAGAAGGAGATGGGGGGGGGGGGAGGAGGGAGAGCCAGGGAGAGGGAAAAAGAGAGGGAGAGGAGGGGAAAAGGGAGATGGAGAAGGAGAGTGTTAAGGAAGTAGCGGAGAGGGGAGGGAAAGGGTGAGGGAGAGGGAAAAGGAGAGAGAGAGGGAGAAGGAAAGAGAGAAATAAAGGGAGAGGGAGAAAGATAGAGGAAGAGGGATAGAGAAAGGGAGGAGGAAAGGGACAGGGAAATAAAGGGAGAGGGGGAAAGAGAGAGGAAGAGGGAGAGGGAAAAGGAGGGGGAAGAAGAGGGGGAGGGGAAAGGAGAGAGGGGAAGGAGAGGGAAGGAGGAGGAGGAGGGAGGAAAAAGAAAAGGGGAGAAGGACTACATGAGAGGGAATGGTAAGAGAGAGAGAGAGAGAGAGAGAGAGAGAGAGAGAGAGAGAGAGAGAGAGAGAGAGAGAGAGAGAGAGAGAGAGAGAGAGAGAAAGAGAGAGAGAGACTGAGAGAAAGAGGGAGAGAAAGAAAAGAACTGAAATGGTGTCGTCTTCGGAAGCCAATATGGCTATCGTCTTTTTTCCAGCTTTTCCGCGTTTAAAAGGTGACCCAAGAGATACCAATGGAGAATTTCTTCAAACTTCTTTGATGATGTCTTGATAAGTTTTGCCCGGATCTTTTCCTCGGGGGTAAGATGCCACATTGCTATAATCGTCTCCTTTTGACACAGTGATCTGACATTTTTCCCAGCGTCTGCCGGGTCTTCTAGATGGCACCGGTGTTTGAGAACAGGGGACTTGTTTATCAAATTAACGAGACATTTTACACTATGAAGCACAGTGGTAGTTCCCAAGGCTTTAGCGAACAAAATCCTGTAATGAGATGACCTTGTGAATTGCGGGGAAATCTTGAGCACACAGGGAATCCTAAATCCGTAAGCTTTTCGAGAATTAGGAGGTGTTCCAGAACGCCGTTTTCTCTATTGTCCGAGAGATATGGGAGGACTTTGATAAATTCCCAGGTGTGTGATTCAGTTCCTCGTTGTACAGATGAGACCCCGCTTTCTCTCGCTCGAAAATTCGGTGAGCTGTTTTGTTAGGTCTGTTTAGTCTATTTATGGGTATGTGTGTATGTGTTTTTGTTTGTCTGTTCGTTAGTCTGTCGGTCTATCTGTCTGTCGGTCTATATGTCTGTCTGTCTGTCTGTCTATCTGTCTGTCTCTCTGTCTGTCTGTCTGTCTGTCTGTCTCTCTCTCTCTCTCTCTCTCTCTCTCTCTCTCTCTCTCTCTCTCTCTCTCTCTCTCTCTCTCTCTCTCTCTCTCTCTCTCTCTCTCTGACTGACATTTACTCTTTTCCACTGTGCGGCTGTCCTTAAGCCGTTTGTGACGTCGCCTGTCGCCTTGCAAAATAGCTTGCAGTAAGGCTTTACATTAATCCCTTTGTCAAGAAGAAGAAAGAGCGAAAAGAAGAAAAATATCCCCCCCCCCAAAAAAAAAAAGTCAAGGTTTTGTACATCTGTCCGACATCAATGTTAGCGGCTGGCCAAGAGCTCCACCTAGACTAATGGTGATGTTTGTTGACATCTTTGTCGAGATCATCCGGAGATAGATGTTGTAAAGTGCTATTCCCCATTGAATTAAAAATAGGACTCGTTAGTGGTGGTTGTTCTGCAACTTGCAACTCAAAATTAATTACGTGTTTAAGACTATTTTTTCGGTTTGCATTTAATTATTACGGTGTTTTTTTCTAGTTTTTTTCTTTTTTATTAGTGTTTAATTACAAGTTTTTTTTTATATCAAGTTGGATTTTATCTGTATGTGTATTTGATTAAACTCCTTCTCACATCGAGTCAGTAATATGTCCCGTAGTGTAGGCACGTCTGTATCCTTTCACTTGGAGGAGAAGTGGTCAGTTATCCTACTCAGCCACCGGGAAAATCAAATTAGAAATCGTCTCAATAATGTGGACTCTTTCGCAACAGATCCGGGTGAAGTTCTTGTTAAAAGGCCTTTGGTGACTGTTTGGTTGTTTCGTCGCCTGTCGAGCTGTCCACCTGATTGTCTGTACGTCTCCCCTTCTCTGTCTTTCCCCTGTATGCCTTTCTGTCTCTCGCTCTCTGACTGGCTGTCTGTCTGTCTGCTTCACTATCTCTCTCTCTCTCTCTCTCTCTCTCTCTCTTTCTCTCTCTCTCTCTCTCTCTCTCTCTCTCTCTCTCTCTCTCTTTCTCTCTCTCTCTCTCTC